CCCCAAAACCCCAAAACCCCAAAACCCCAAAACCCCTAAAACCTGTGAAATCCTTGAAAATCTCCTGATTATAGCAAAACCATAAATATGCCATTTTGATTTAGCAGAACACTTAAGGGATTTTAGAGAGGGAAATTGACCGTAGAGTACGAGAAAATAGAAGAAAAAAGCCAACCATGAGGAACTAGGGTAGAATAGAAGTTTGGAGAGGGAAATGAGTTTTAGATACCAAATTTAAGAGAATTTTAAGGGTTGTTTAAGCTTTATATGTCATTTCCTTCTTCATTGTCATTGATATTCTTATTTTTATTTAGGTTTAATGCTGCAAGCCACTTGCTTGGAAGAATATCAAGCATCCAGATAAAAGCATCCTTTGCAGTCCATGTATCTTCCTCTGCTTCTCCAGGGTATCCCTCTTTGTAGACAATGTACTCGAAAGAGTCTATCAGAATTGCTGAAAAACTTGAAATTATCAGATAGATTATAATTATTGTAAGCGAAATTACATACAGGATTGTCCACAGAGGATCGTACCTCATCATTGTATTTAAATCACATTGGCCTACTATGAATCCTAGAACTGCTAAAAAGCTACCTTCAAAAGTACTAAATTGTCCAACATACGGTCCATAAACTCCCATTCCAATCAGAGCATAGGCTACCAACATCGGCATGATAATGAAAGCATAGATTAGAATTTGTTGAAAAGCGAGTTTTACTGTCTTAACAATAATTCTAACTGCTTTAATAATAGTGAGCACATGCAGAATCTTAAGGATCAGCAAAAGTATGTTACATGAGTCAATGATGTTCATTGCCTTATAGATACTACTCTTTTCGATAAGATCAACATATTCATCAGAGTTTATTAAGTCCACAGTGGAACCCTGAGATAAGACTATGATCAGAATAAAGTTGCTAAAGATGCAGAGGACTATACAGATATCAGCGAGTATTTTGAATAAGTACTTCAACCTCAGCTGTCGCTTTAGATTCTCCCATTTCCATATCTTGTTCCTAAGGACTACTCAGCAAACCGATATGTAGAAGGATAGGAAAAATTTGAAGAATTCTATAGCCCAAAGTCCTTTTTCTCTAGAGCTCTCTCTCAGATTTGCATCAAAATTCCTTGAGACAATATATGATGGACTAACCACACTTGATGCATATTCTATTAACATCTCAGTAGCGATCCATTCGTCACTAGATGGGTTATAAAAGCCAAAAGATATCAGTAAAGCAATGGTTGCTGGGGATAAATAAGCTTCATTTCCATCTATGCTTCCTTGATTCTTCATGGCATCAATGGTGTCTTGCCAAATAGTGATATTCTTATCTGGATTAAAATCAAAAATGTATCCATCTGTGTCATAATTCCTACAGTATTAGAAGAACTCCATAGTGATTTAGAAACCAGAATTCTTAACAAAATTAAAAAATTAATGAATAGAATACTTCCCAGCATATCTACTCAATTTTAGGAGTCTTAGCATGATGTAGGATAAGTATTTTCATCAGACATATAGAGTTAGGTTACTCTAGGACAGGAAATAATAAAGTAATGATAAAAAGGAAGTATCTTTGATACTAAATCAGCATATTTCTCGCTATTTATTTTACTGGAGACAGCTAATAAACCTTGCAAGATAATCTACCAGTAAAGGCTCTTTCTAACTATGAATATACTTATGAGAAAAAGTGAGAAATTTATGTGCTGAATTATCTAAGAGAGATTATTATTTAGAGGAAAATGGAATATTCCATAATATTTTAAGCTAGATTCATGACTATAATGCCATTATACACTTAGAGCTCAAACTCCTTAAAAGGCTAGGTTATTGAGAAGTCTACTTATTGTTGGGAAAACTTATGAATTTGTTAAGCAATTTATATTTGAGAATGACTGTACCCATATTTTCCATAGATTTTTCTTCTGTTGAAATCTATAAAAGTTGTTAAATCTTTCTTCTCATACTGCAGATCATATAGCTCCAAAAAATTTTAATAAGGAAAATAGAGAAGCCATATGGTATTCTAATGGAGTTATCTGCAATTAAGTCGTTCATAAAACGATATGTCCGAATGGAATAGTGTTATAATTATCTAGCTGAAAAAATTTCTGGCAAAATTTTATCACTATCAAACCAAAATACCACACCTATTCTGGTGTGGAGAAAAGTAAAATGCACATACTTGAAGCCCTTCTTCCTGTAAATTTACACCATCCATTGTTAGGGTCTATATGAGAAATTATTAGGTCTTCTTCTCCGATTTTGAAAGCTGATACATTACTCTCAAGAGTACGTGAAGTAACATAATGTATGAATGGACAAAGATTTTAACCATCAGACGTAATTCTTTATAGTATCTCATATTTTATGGCTTTATTTGGTCAACCTACCAAATTTATGCAATTATATTACAAATACTTTGCAAAACTGTTTACCGTACTCGGTGTGATAAGAGCGACCATAATAAAACAAATTCTGTTGAATAAAGGGAATCAGCAGGATAATTTTATTGATTTTTGGATTATTGAAAACAAGCGCTATTCTTCCAGAAAATCACAGTTTTCAGTATAGCAGTATCAAATATATTTTTAAACACGGACCATAAGTGAGAGGTATAGAATTTGACATAAGTTCTAAGAGGTATTTCAGATATCAATTCACTAACTTGCAAATTAATACTCATTAACAAGCTAATGAGTTACATGTGCAATTCATAATATGTAAGATTATTACCTGTTCATATATCTGAAGTTTGCTTTGTGTCATCATTATAGGTATCTTGATATCAGCTATTCACATCATCATTAAAAATCTTTTTGCATTTCTTTGACTTTGTCCTCATTTGCATAACTCTAATAGGACCGACCATATAAGACATAAGCCTGAGTTGAGGAAGGCTAATACTACCAAAGAAATTTTGTTCCAAAAGTTCCTCACCTATCTTATCTCTGAGGAAGGTATATACACCTTCATTACTGTTTATAGTTGTAAAATTATCATCAAAAGTTTCATAGACCATTCTGGAAATATAGTATGATTTTACAGTATTTTCTCTCAAGAATAGAGAGAGGATTGCGAACAAGAAAAGTAAGAGATAGACTCAGAGGGTTAAAAACGATCTACTTCCAATGCCCTTTGTCCCAGTAAGTGTTCTGTTCCTTTTCCCTCTAAAGAGTCATTATGTGCTTACAATTTATTAAGGAGGCCACTTTTTCCATCATTGAAATTTTCTAGTAATTCATCTGCTTCATCTTCTTCCTGAGCTGCGAAGTTATTTGGGTCTAAAATTATTAAGAACTTTTTACTGAAGAATCCGCCTGAATTTTTATCCTTTCTGATCCCAATGCTCACCTTCTGTTCTGTTACCAAAGTTGGCTGCAACTCAACTGGCTTCATTAAGATCAGGATGGCTTTAGTATACAAGAATGTTTCGAAGAAAGAATTCACAGTCATTTCTTTCTCTGAAGAGTTAAATATTGACCCTGTTCCTTCAATCTTATCAATAAGGATAACATTTAGCTTGTCATCGTGAAATTTGAAGAGATGGTATTCTTTTTCACCCCAAAAGTCTCAAGCACCTTTATTTTAACTGATCAAAGGTTGTTGTCTTATTAATCCTGAAGTCTTGTGAGTACATCTCAAAGTCTTGATTTTTACTTAGAAAATGAGTGTTCATCAAAGAGTTTCCTACAAAAGATTTGTCCTTATAAAGCTTCACCATGACATGGTTTACATATGGCCTGACCAAATAACTTTCTTCACCTTCCTGGATATACTTATTTTTCTTTAGCTTTCTGAAAGACGTTGATTTTAACACTAAGAATTCCTTCCAGTTTATTCTTTATGTCCTTCCCAAAGTATTTATCGATCTCATAATCAGTTATTTCATGGTTTGAACCTAATTGTTAGGAGGAAGAATATACCTGTTGGGTCATTTGGGTTGAACTCTTTCTTTCTCTCACGAGACGTGTTTGAGCTAGCCTCTTCTGAAGAATCTTCTGAGCTATCGCTGGAACTACTAGATCTATTGGACCCTCCGCCATGATATCTTAGCTATAAAAATGTTCACCAATGTAAAATTTTAGAATAAATTTTGATGAACGGTAATGGAGAGACTGGAAGGATCATACAAATGACAGAAAAGTCAATAGTATGAGTCAAAAACTGAAGCCTAGCTGAATTATTAGAAAATTGTGTTGGTGAACAGGAATTAATGAAAATTTTAATTAAAGTTATACTTTGGTGCAGAGTTTAATAATATTTGAATTATATATCCTCTAAATTTATAAATTCCTTCGATTCCCAAATTATTTTTCTCCCAATATAGGTTCTAAAAATCTCAAAATACCCAAACCCGACTTCTCCCAATACATCTCCTTAATACTCTCTTCTCCTATTACCTCCTCCTGTATACTCCTTATCTTATTCTTAAGTCGACTATAATACATTAAAATTCAATTCTATACTTAAATTCTTCATTTTTAGTTACATTATCTCTGACCCTTTCTATAATCTATACTTGAGCCTGCACAATTACTTTTCTTTCTTGTTCTTCAGCCTGTGCCTTCTTGTCATCAAGAATCTTACGAAGCTTTGCTTCTCTTCTCATTTTTATTAATATAAGAATTTTCAAAAATTTATGAACTGGTTGGGGTTTTGGGGTTTTGGGGTTTTGGGGTTTTGGGGTTTTGGGG